TGGCAACTGCGGCTTGTCCTCCTCACATTTCTTCCGTCCTCCTGCGTGCTGACGTGGGATGTATCCCGCCTCTCATTGGCTGATGCTCTTTGTCAGTCGTGTCAGCCTTCTCCAGTTTTCTAGCATGCCAGATATCCAGTCCCAGTCACAGACGAGCGGGCGACTTGCCCATAGGCTTGTTCACACAATAGGACTCGTCGTGGCAGATTATCTGCCAACTCACCTCCAACCCAAGGTGGCTCTCAAGATCCTCTGTGACGTCAAAATCGCAGTGAAAATCGTGTAATGTGAACTAGGCTTAAGTTGTATCTCGCAACACACACTTGATTCAGGGGGAGAAGAGGGGTGGGACAACGGTGAGACATCGCCAATACCCACTTGGAGGCGGCCGGGTGTGCTTTTGGTAATACATCAGAGATGGCCATGTTAAAACTGACAAAGTAAACACAAATCGATGTGACACGGTTTCACTCAGCATGGCCAAAGTGCCAATGGAAAAGCCCTATTACTAAGTTTGACTCCTGTTCACACATGGAGAGAGACTTTGTACAGCTACCATACTCTCCTCAAGGTTTGCTGCTGTTTGACTCACCAGGCGAGAGAAGGGTCCTTTCCTCAGCAGAAGATCTGTGCTCTTCTGGTACTTGCGGATCTCCATTAAGGCTTTGGTCCCTGGTCGAAACCTTCTCTTCCTGGGAGTTAGAGGGGGCTCCTCTGGAAAACAGATGTAGAGTTTTTGAGTGTATATTTTCATGGCAGGACAGGACAAATTTTATCTTGTGGAGTACTGACATGTTGTTAAATGTTAATTCAGCTAATTTACATGTTTTTAAAATTGTTAGTTTTATTTAGTGTTGATAAAAGCAGTGACTTATTTCTGTGACTGGAATATAATCAACAGTTGGAATGCCAGCCCTGCTACTTCAGTCACTCTCACTTGAAACTTCACGTCGTCTTGGGGGCCGGGGTGTCGAACCAGAGGTCCCTGGGGCCAGCGGCGGGGAGCGACGTTGAGGGGTTTTGCCCTTTCGGCGACTTGCAGATGAATCATGACGCATCGCCTCCAACACACAGCCCAGGACCACAAGAGAAAAATACTGCAGCTGAGGTCTGACTGTGAAAGATTCCAAAGAACATTCCATACTTTAGTCAATCAAACAACAAACCTTCAAGTAATCTCTTTATACGAGTTGAATACCTTTTATTCCGTCAACTCTTCTCATTTGCTGTTTATACCTAAAAAATACAGTAATCAATGATGATTTAAACTAGATCGTCTCATCTAGGTGTTGTGATCTACTCATGTCATATCAGCCATAGCACAGGGACCTTAAAGCTCTGGGGCCGGCTGCACCAACTGTAGGCTTTACTACGCCTGGTTGTAACTCCTAAGACGGTCTTTGTTAAGACCCGTCTTAAGGAGTGGATTTACGCCGGTTGTATCAACAGGGCTTACGCCTGGTCTTAGCTACGCCGGTTTTAGCTGTGCGCATCCATGTGAATGCCCCCGGAATGCCGCACGCGGCCTGCCTAGAGGAGTGCGGTGAAGTCAAATGATGCGCCGCTGATTCACCCCGCATGCTTGACAGTTGACAGCCCCTCTCATCTGTGTTGACAGTTTATTTACAGCTTAAGATTTGAAGAAAACATGGAGGATCAATGAAAATTAAAGGGTAACTATACCGACATTGAAATTAGAAAATTAATCGAGCTGTACAGCCAGCACAGCGGAAAAAAACAGAAATAAGAAAAAACAGTTAGTATGGCAGAGATAACGAGGCACATCGATACGTGTTCAGACTCTGGCTGCCTTCGTACAGAGGCTGAGGAGGAAGAAGTGGAAAGATTCCCCTGCCTTAACTGGTTTGGATGGCTTTGCATGTTGCGGCCCAACACAAACTGTAAATCCGGTGACAGCTCTTCAATAAGTTCAAACAGATCTCTCCTACCGAATCAAAACCTCTCAATCAGCTCCTCGTCATTATATACGTCCAATGGATTGCTTCTGTCCCTAATTACTCTCTCCCGTCTAAATGCCCTCTCGTTGTACAGACTGTGGATGAGACGTGCCATTATCAAGCTGGGCTCTCTGCGCTCTAGAGCGCATGAGCGCAGCTACATACTTCTTCTTCTGTGGTTTAATGGCTGCGGGCCGCTGCGGGCGTGCAGACTTACTTCCGCCTCTGGGTTACGTACTCTGGTTTGCTGACTTCCGCTGTGTCCGACCCGACCCAGGCTACGCTAAATAGCCATATAGAGAAAGGCAGGGTATGAAATTAACAAAATATTTTGGGGGCAATTTTGGCCCCCACGGTCTAAAAAATGGGGGCATTTTCAAAATGTTTGGGGGCCATCAAAAAATTTTAATTATGTTCTAACAATAAGCACATGAAAAGCAAAACCAACTAAGATAGTGTCTTCACTCTTCAGTAGAAACCACTATAAAAGAAACAAATAATGGGTCACATAAAGTTATGGTTGCAAAATATCACTCAGATTTCCTATAATTCAACCAGTTTAAATGTGATGATTTAACCATTAATCTACTGATAGCAGTACTAATGTTTCACCACATTACACTTACTTTTACTGTTAAAAAGGCCAAATTACTATAAATTCCTTAGATGCAATCCTGGAAGTAAGTTAATTTAAAATTTAACATTCATTCTACCTTAATTTTTCATTAATTTGTCATTGTGTAGACACAGATCACCCAAGAAATGGTTAATTTATACTTATGGTACAGCAAAGCCCCCTCCCCTTCTCTGTCAGATTACTCTCACATAATCAGTGCAATCTCGTTGATTATGTCTGGAAAATGAGCTGTAGACGTGACGGTAAATTAATTTAATGAAAATAAAATTATACTTTAATGTCAGATTGTAATACCGTTAAAAATATAAATACATATAGTTGTTTCGAAAACTTGGGGGCAATTTTGGCCCCCGGAACGTGGCTTTTGGGGGCATTATTGGATAAATTGCGGCCCTTGCTAATATCTGACACTGGAGAAAGGCTTTTTTGTCACTGTTGGGTTCAAATAAATATGCGGATCTTTTTGGGGGGGGGGGGGGTTACGAACTAGGGACAGTTTTATAAATGGTAAAAAGTTCCCTGCAGCTGCTTTAAGACCAGGCGTAAGCCCTGTTGGTGCAACCAGCCCCTGGAGTCTTTCTCAGTAGAACTACATACAATGGAGGCTTCCTGGACCCATCAGCCCAAAAACAGCAACAGTACTAGTCTGAAGAGATCACTTACTAAAGCAATTCATGAGAAATCATGATAGTGACCAATAACTCTGTAAATGTAAATACTGTACATGGGTTAAAGACTTGTTAAAAAGACTGACATGAAGGTACCAATGGTTTACAATAGAGTCAAATGGCCTTAAGGAAGGTACTTAGTTTGATATTGTAATGTGGGTTTTGAGCTGTAAAAGTTTATTTATACTTCTGCGTTGAATCAACGCCGTAGCCATGGCCGGCGTAGGCTCCACATCAACTTAGAGCCTACGCTGTAACCTACACTGTAGCCTGACATGCACCTCCTCAGATACAGCTGCTGCTTTATTGTTTCATTTAAAATAAACTATTTCCATGTGATTATATGAATATTGGCTTTATTAATCTGTAGCACTATAATAAATGTTATGTTTATGAGCTAACTGGATTCAAACAGCTGCTTTTTGTATTGGAAACCAGTCAGGTGGTAAAATGTTCCAAAGTGCATGGACAATGTGGTCACAAGTTGATCTGGCTACTTCCCAATTTTAAGACACTACTGGCTGTATGCTGTTCGACTTTTAGAGTATCTGCTCCACAGTGAATGCGGTGATAGTGGCGCATGTGTTTATCATCCATCTCTCTTTTTTTTCTCATGATGAAGTGAGTTCGAATCCCGTGAAAATGTTCTCTTTTTTACCTTTCAACGGACTGGATGGTACTTTAATGTGGTACATTTATTTAAACAGGCACCAAAGACGAAACTGAGTAGGCTTATTTAGAAAATTTATTACAGATATGAGTTATATTTACAGAAAAAGCAACCTGCTCTCTTCCTGTTTTGAATATTCCGTTTACCATGAGTAAAGACAATAAGAAAAATATGCTACAGTAAAAATGCTCAAAATTTAGGACAGTTGCACTCTACTGATCATTCTTATTTTATCTCCCCTGTATTTGTTCAATTTTTAAGTTCATGAATTGGCCTGAAAATGACTGAATACCGCCATCTACAGGCGTTATGCGAGATTTAAGGTGGACTGAGAAATTCCAATTGGAAGCTGTGACTATGAAGCCAACTTCAGCCTCGTCTTTAATGTGGCATATGTTTATTTTAACAGGCGCCTAAGACGAAACTGAGTAGGCCTATTTAGAAATGTTATTACAGGTATGCGTTAAGTTTACAGGAAAAGCAACTTGCTCTCTTCCCGTTTCCAACATTCCGTTACAAGAGGTGCAATTCAAACCACGACTGGGTGTTAGTACGTGACTGGGTTCCTCTAAGAAGAGTCCAAAGACGGATCGGGTTGGCTATGTTTTGATATTGTAATGAAAAATTAAATAACGAGGCTTTCGCGAGGACAGCTACGTGTTCTCTTCCTGAGACTTCCCATGATCCTCGCTGAAAGTGGGCAGTTAACATGGTCCCGAGTAAATCCGAAACACAGGACAAGAAGTTTTAAATTGTTGTATTAACCCCGGCCAACCCCCTCCCCCCTTAATGTTAATGTAAAGTCTATGCGACCAAGTAACGAAAACGTTAACGTGCGGAGCGTCGGGCTCAATATAAAGCTACTTTAAGTCAAGCATAATGCTGTATGTTTCTTGACATAACGGCTGCATACCAATGCTACCACGGCTTACTCGGCCAAATCTCTTTAATGGCAGTGTAACTTTTAGGTGCTATTTTACGATTACGTGGTCATATTAACTCGCTCTTTTTTAAACCCTCCATTCCTCAATAAAGTCAATGTAAACTTACCAGTTTAAGATGAGTCAATGTTTCATCAAATACTGACAACCGAACTGACTGGCGGGGCAATCGCCATCAACAATAACATCCAACAGAAATTCAAACCACCGCTCACCGACCTAAGCCGCCGCCGCCTTCTTCTTCTTCTTCTTCTTCTGCGGATTTTCCGGCAGCGTAGACGCGTCTTGGCGTATTACTGCCCTCCACCGGTTCGGACCCTCATTGTCTTCTCAAAACCAACAGCACTATATATTATATATTATTAAATATGGGCTGATTAACAGTATTAAAAAATGGTTGCCGTTTAGCCCCTCCTCCAGATTCCCATGACCCTAGTAGTATGCACTTAGCTGGACATGCTTGACCTGAGCAGCTTAATTTGACCCAGTACTGCAAACCTAGTTTAATTCTCCTTAGAGACAAGGGCATTTCCCCCATTTCCACTAGCAAAGCAGAGATCGGTGAGGTTCTAAAAGCCCCAGAGCAGAGTCTCAGTGCCCTGGCCTGAATCACATCTAATTTGTTAAGCACTGATTCGAAAGCTGATACATAAATAAAACTCCCATAGTCAATAGCTGATCTTATCATTGCTTCATATATTTTGAACATGACCCCTCTGTCTGCCCCCAGTCACATCCAGCCAAGCTTCTCATAATATTTATCACTTTTTCACATTTCTCTACCACTTTAGATATGTGTGCTGCCCACGTCAGTCGTTCATCAAACCAGACTCCAAGAAATTTAAAAACTTTTACCTTCTCTAAAGGATACCCATATATGCTCAATCCATTATTAGGAAGCTTCCTTTTAAAACCAGAAATCATATATTTAGACTTTGATGCAGATATCTTAAAGCCCCACTTATCTCCCCATTCCACAACAGAGTCCAAGGCCTTTTGAACCTGCTTTAAAATAAACTCGACATTTCTACCTCTTTTCCAAATGGTCCCATCATTAGCAAATAGGGACCGCCCGAACCCCCCTCCAATGTTTTTAAAGATGTCATTAATCATAACATTAAAGAGGACTGGGCTGATGACACTTCCTTGTGGGGTACCATTTTCTATTTCCACTGTCTTAGAGCTTTCCCCCCAACCCTTACTTGAATCGTTCTTTTCCTCAGAAAATCTTGGATCCAATTAAACATCCTACCTCTAACCCTGAGGTCATACAGCTTAAATAACAAACCCTCCTTCCATAAAGAATCATAAGCCTTCTCAATATCTAAAAACACTCCTACAGCAACTTCTTTATTAACAAATGCCTTCTTGACATCATATTCCAAAACTGCCACTTACTCCATAGTTGAACTACCAATCCTAAAACCATTCTGATAATCTGTAATAAGACCCTTTGTTTCCAAGAAATATACCAACCTATTAGTTACCATTCTTTCCATAATTTTGCAGAGCACTGATGTCAATGCTATAGGTCGATATGAAGATGGGTCAGACCTGTCTTTACCTGGTTTCAAGATAGGAATTATGACTACATGTTTCCATTCAGATGGCAATCTGCCCTCATCCCACACTGTATTAAACAAAGCTAAAATTTCATGCAGAACTTCCTCCCCCAGATGTTTAAAAAAGGCATAAGCCAGACCATCTCTTCCTGGGGTAGTATTTGCCCCTGAAGCAATTGCATCCTTCATTTCTTTCAGTGTAAAAAAGGTGTTCACAGGACTAACATTATCAGAACTCCAATCCAACTTCCACTGGTTAACTAACATAAACTCTTTCCTCTCTAGATCACCACACGATTCCCGAGCGTGGCACCGCTGCTGCTCACCGCGCCCTTAGGGGATGGGCCAAATGCGGAGAACAAATTTCACACACTCAGGCAGGTGTGTGACAATCAGTGGAACTCATTCATTCATTCATTCATCTTCTAACCGCTTCATCCTCTTGAGGGTTGCAGGGGGGGCTGGAGCCTATCCCAGCTGACATTGGACGAGAGGCAGGGTTCACCCTGGACAGGTCGCCAGACTATCGCAGGGCTGACACATAGAGACAGACAACCATTCACTCTCACATTCACACCTACGGACAATTTAGAGTTATCAATTAACCTAGTCCCCAATCTGCATGTCTTTGGACTGTGGGAGGAAGCCGGAGTGCCCAGAGAGAACCCACGCTGACACGGGGAGAACATGCAAACTCCGCACAGAAGGGCTCCCACGCCCGGGATCGAACCGGCAACCCTCTTGCTGTGAGGCGATAGTGCTAACCACCACACCACCGTGCCGCCCAATCAGTGGATTTTAATCTTTAATCTTCCTACCTCTCACTTCCCCAAGACTATCAGATCTATGCACTTCCTGGAAAGACTCCACACACATGTCAGCCTTTTCTGTGTTGGTAACTGCCTCCACCTCCCCTTTTTATAACACTGGCATAGATCTTTTTTTGTAACTCCCTGAAATTCTACACACAGCTGACCACAGGTCCCTTACTGGGGTCTCGGGTCCTAATGTTCCACAGAACCTCCTCCAACAGTTTCTTTTTGCATTCTTTATTACTTTTCTCACTATTGCCCTTCTTTTTTTATATTCTACAGCATGACTTACCATTTGGGTGCCTCCTTAATTGTCTATATGCTTTATTCCTATTTCTTACGGCTACATCACAGTCCTTGTTCCACCAAGGGACCAATACATGGGACTGGGGACTCTGTTTCATGGGAACAGTACACTGGGCTGCGTTATGGATCATTTCACTCAGGGAAGTGCCCACTGAGCCATCACTGTCTACTTCACTAATTAACCTTTGGGCTTTCAATTGAAAGCCTTCCCAGTCAGCCCGAGAGAAATTATACCTGACACCCTGATCCTCCACTTCAACTCTCAATTCTCTACCAAACCGACCAAGAATTGGAAAATGATCACTGCCCATAGTGTACCTATCTAATACATCCCATTCTCCTACTCTGACTAAATCAATCAATCAATCAATTTTATTTATAAAGCCCAATATCACAAATCACAATTTGCCTCACAGGGCTTTACAGCATACGACATCCCTCTGTCCTTATGACCCTCGCAGCGGATAAGGAAAAACTCCCCCCAAAAAAACCCTTTAACGGGGAAAAAAAACGGTAGAAACCTCAGGAAGAGCAACTGAGGAGGGATCCCTCTTCCAGGACGGACAGACGTGTAATAGATGTCGTACAGAACAGATCAGCATAATAAATTAACAGTAATCCGTATGACACAATGAGACAGAGAGAGAGAGAGAGAGAGAGAGAGAGAGAGAGAGAGAGGGAGAGAGAGAGAGAGAGAGAGAGAGAGAGAGAGAGAGAGAGAGAGAGAGAGAGATGCAGGTAATGACAGTAGCTTACAACAACATTAATGAAAGTAATAATATTATAGTTATAGTTCTGGCTACTGTGGTACAATATGTTGAAAGTATGTATTAATATCTGGCAGTATACATGTGTGACAATAGTCATATGTGTATAATAACAGTAGAAGTATGACTAATGACTAATGATGGCAGCAGCAGCAGGAGGCATCTGGCAGGACCACGGCAGCAGCACAACCACACACGTCACGCAGTCCAGGCACTGCTGCAATATGAGTTAATCTGAGAGACAGTGGAGCACAAAGGCTCCGGAGAAGAAGCCGAGTTAGTGACATCCACAATGGCCGAGTTAGCAAGATGCAGTAATAGGATACAAGAGAGAGAGAGAGAGAGAGAGAGAGAAGGAGAGAAGGTGCCCGGTGTATTATAGGGGGGTCCTCTGGCAGACTAGGCCTAAGTCAGCCTAACTAGGGGCTGGTACAGGGCAAGCCTGAGCCAGCCCTAACCATAAGCTTTATCAAAGAGGAAAGTCTTAAGTCTAGTCTTAAATGTGGAGATGGATTAAATTAAATTAAATTAGATGAAGCAAACAATAAGTCAATATGACTACAATATGACTACATGCGTTACTTAAAATATGGAACCTGGTAGGCCTCCCGTCCTTTATCATGACCAGATCATCCTTATCTATAAAATCTTCTACCACCACTCCATTGTGATCCCTTTTATTACTGCCCCATAAGGGGTTGTGAGCATTATAATTCCCCACCCATATACTAGGACCCTTGATCTGCACCATTATCCCATCTAAATCAGACAAAATTTAGCGTTCACAGGGATTATACAAATTCACCACAGTTATTGAGCTGCTGCTATTCCACAATTCCACAGCCACACCCTCAAGATTAGTGTACAGGTCAAGCTTTCTATATTGAAGTCCATTTGTAATAAATGTTGCACACCCTCCACCCGATTTATCAGGCCTGTCCTTCCTCAAACAAACATATCTGGAATTACAAAATCAAGACAGGGCTTCAACCAAGTTTCCTGAAAACATATCAGTTCTGGCGTATCTTTAAATGCAGCAGCAAACCTCTTCAATTCCTATCCATTTGCTATCAAGCTCCGAGCATTCCATTGTAAGATATAAAACATGAGAATACTAATAACCAGCATCATCAGACCCAACGGACTCACTGACTCTGGACCTCACTCTCTGTGAATTACCCTTCATTTTCTCTAACATGTACCCGTGTAGTTTCTCTGGTAACTGCTTTGTGTCAAGGAACCTTTCTGCTGCGTCAACAATCAGCTTTATAACGCTTGACCTGGAAGTACAACCTCTAGCCCCCACTAACACATCCACTATGAAAGCTAAGAAAGTGTGGTAGGACGGCACAGCCTGTCCCCCCCTCATTCTGTTTGTGTGTGTATTGGATCAGGTGAACAGCAATGTAGGCTCCCTCCCTTGCTCCCCGCCCACTGAATGCTGCTGGGCTGGGAGCAATTATCCTATTCCACCTGGCTTACGGGGCGGTGCCAGGCAAAGCTATATCTGGGGGAGGGCTATGCATCTCGGATGTGGGTGTTGGGAGTTCGAGTTGATTCGGTCCTCGGAGAATACTTGTTAAACTGTTTAATATAGTTAGCCATGTCTGATTGTGTTCCTGGTAGGTTGAGTGAGAAGTGGTTGTGTGAGTGTCGGCCGACGGCCTGTATAGGTCCGGTAGCGGCACGTGCATCCTATTTCTCCTATTTCTTTTGTTTGAGTCTGTTATTTTCGGATCTTCTTAATCGACAAATTCTTTGTAAGTAAAAGAGCATCAGGGCTGG